TTCCTTCTCGCACATGGTGCAGTTAGCGTCGTGTGGTAAGCGAGTAGTTTTTAACTTGAATGGCCATTCACAGGCAAAGCGAGCCTGCCGAAATCTATTAATTATAAATAAGTAGAATAACTCTTTGTACATTTGTCGATTGTATTTGCTCATATTTAGATGGCTTTTCCCTACTTATGACTGGGGTTTTTATGCCGGATAAATACGAGCCTAATTATACTTGATAAAATTATAATAAAAATAAATCCATATCCTTTATTTATTCAATATTCACTCACCATATCCATATTAATTTTCAAAGAACTTGATATACATGAGACTTATAAATTTTTTCTTATAGGGGATTCGAATTACTGTGTTGATTATATTTAACTTGGAATTTCTACTAAAGAATTGTCCAATTTGTTCAATAATATATGCTGAAACTCGTACCTTTTGATATTGTTAATTGTTTAACTTTAATTATGCATAATAAAAAAAGAAACAGTTGTATTATGGTTTGGGCCTCGCATAATAACATTTATTCAATTGTGTTTTATTATAGCTATTAATACATTATACCTATCTAAAACAACTTATTGTAGGTAAAGCACTTGTAGCTTATACTGCTCTTGGGTTGAAGTTATTATGTACTTGGATTAATCTACCGTGAGAGGGAATCGAGCTCTCAGGTTAACCTATCAGAATTTTGTGTAATTCGGGTAAGCTGTCGTGGGGCTGTTGTGGGGTTAAATTATAGTGTACATATGTTCATCTGTTGTGAAGTTAGCAGGTTATTGTGTACTTCGACTAACCTATCAGGTCGTTAGTGGCTTATTGATTCCTTGGGTTAACTTGTTGTAGATTTAGTGCTTACAAATTATTGCGCTTATACAGGGTGGCTTATTTTAAAGGAACCACCCCGAAATTTACTACGGTTGGTGTTCTACAAAAAAATTGTTCAAACAAAAGTTGTTTAGGACAATGAGGGACACCTTTTCCAGAAATCGAAGTTGACCTTGAGATTTATTTTCAAGGTCATTTGAAGATCTAAGTCATTTTTTGAATAGAAACCTATACTTTTGATCCCGGATTCGGAAAGAGCGAGAAATTCTACGTTTAGATAAGGTATTATATGTGGGATGCGGTTAACCCCCCTCCCGCGTAAGGTCATGTAGGGGTCAAATTTATTATTTTCTTCATCTATGCATAAGGATGATCGGGCAAGGGTAAGATTAATTTTAATAACCCAAAAACTCAAATAACCCAATAAACCAACCCCAATAACTCCAATAACGAATTTACCAAGTGATTATGTTAATAAGAACCCCCATTTTTTATCATGAATTCGGAAAGAGCGGGAAATTTTACGTTCAGGTAAGGAATTATGTATGGGGTGCGGTCAACCCCCCCCCCCCATCCCACCGGGGCAAGGGTGAGGTTGATAATAATAATAATAATAATAATAATAATAATTGGGTGGATATCTTGAAGGCGCTGAAAAGCAACTTTCGGATCCCACCGTACCTGGTTCGGGTTGTGGAGGATTATCTGAGAAACAGACGAATAACGTACGAGACGATCGAAGGACAGGTAACGAGACAGGTCACCGCTGGTGTGGCTCAGGGGTCGATACTGGGACCCGACTTTTGGAATGGTCTATACGATAGTCTGCTTCGGCTTGGGATGCCACTCGGAGTGACCCTCGTCGCCTACGCTGATGACGTGGCGGCGGTGATCACGGAGAGATCTCCCGAGCTGGCGCAGCTGACGTTGAACCAGACCATGAGACGAGTTGGACGATGGATGACAGAACACGGACTGCAACTCGCAACAGAAAAGACGGAACTTATGCTTCTCACGAGAAGACGCATACAGACGATACTACCCATGAGAGTGGGTACATACGAAACGGAGACCAAGGGGGAAGTCAAGTACCTTGGGGTAACCCTCGATACGAAGATGACCTTCTGGCCTCACATACAGAAGACAGCCCGAAAAGCGGCAGAGAGGATAACATCCTTGAGCCGCCTGATGGGAAACACGACGGGACCGAGATCAGGAAAGCGGCGACTGCTAATGGCGACAGCTCACTCGATCCTCTTATACGGCGCGGAAATATGGGCAGATTCCTTGAAGACAAAGAAGTACTGTAAGACAATGACGATGGCACAGAGACAGGGCGCTCTGCGAATCGCTTGCTCCTACCGAACAGTCTCTGCGCAGGCTGTCCTGGTGGTGGCGAGCGTAATACCCGTGGATCTTCTTGCCTCTGAACGCAAAAGGATCTATGGGAGCAGCGCAGACATAGGACGAAAGAACGCGGCAATCGTTGAACGCGAAAGGACGATCGACATGTGGCAAGACCGATGGACAGAAGAACGAGGTAGCAAATGGACGAGACGACTGATACGGGACGTGAGACCGTGGCTTGGAAGGAATTTTGGTGATGTGAATTTTCACGTCACCCAGCTCTTGACGGGCCACGGGTACTTTCGACGGTACCTCCACAATATGAACAGAGTACGAACACCTGACTGCAAGTATTGTGGACACGAACGAGACGACGCGGAACACACGTTTTTCGGGTGCGACCGCTGGACAAGACTCAGACGAGAACTAGAGACAACAGTTGGCAACATCACCCCCGATAACATTGTAGAGGTGATGCTGCATAAACCCGAATGGTGGCGTTTAGTCGCTACCTATACGGAAACCATACTAAGACGTAAGAACGCGGACGACTGTCTGAAGGACGACTGAGCAGACGGATTGACGCGACGTAACGACGCACGGTGAAACGATACGAACGAAGGAACACAGACAGAACCCCCAGTCAGAAGTAATATTAACATAGTCCCTGGCTGGGGGAAGGACAACAAGGAGATGGCGGTTTAGTGGGTAGGCCTGTCTTTTTTTTTTTGGGGAGTCCCACATACCTCCTTAGATCAAGACTAAGGGGAATCCGCAAAAAGGATTCCGCAACTCCTTGTAAAAAAAAAACAAAAAAAAATGATAATGATAATAATAACCCAATACCCAAGATAAATAAAAGTTTGATTATCAAGGTCGTTTTGGATTTAATCATCACGTGTGTTCGTGCCACATTTAGTAACGTGAACCAATCTAACCAATGTACGCAAAGAAAGAGTAAAATTCCTAATTTTTGACATTCTGTTATCTCTCGGGGCATATTCGTGGTCGACGTCTCTCTCTTCGTTCAATGATTCGGATTCTCACGTGGTTTGGGCACCGAAGCCTCCCTGGGTAATTTTGACGGTCAAGGCCGATATCGTGCTGCAGCAAGATATTACCGTCCAGTTATTGGGTTGAGAGGGCAAGATATTACCAGCAAGTTATTGGGTTATTACAATTAATCTTACCCTTGCTCGATCATCCTTGTGTATAGATGAAGAAAATAATAAATTTGACCCCTACATGACTTTACGCGGGAGGGGGGTTAACAGCATCCCATACATAATACCTTATCTAAACGTAGAATTTCTCGCTCTTTCCGAATCCGAGATCAAAAATTTAGGTTCCTATTCAAAAAATGACTTTGACCTTAAAAATAAATCTCAAGGTCAAATCCGATTTCTGGGAAAGGTGTCCCTCATTATCCCAAACATTTTTTTGTAGAACGCCAACAGTAGAAAATTTCGGGGTGGTTCCTTTAAAATGGGACACCCTGTAGATTACACCGTTGCAGGTTACAGTATAAAATATTTCATGTCAGCAGTTCATATAAAAATCATTAACTTCATACTTTTAAGTTAAAACATATGAGAACCCATAAGTAATTCGATAATTTTAAGGTTGGTTTCGGTTTTAAAAATCAAAACTTATAGAAATATATATTCCGTTGTCCGAAGATTTTTTTTTCAATTTTAGTACTTCTGTTATAAAACACTAAAATATTCAACTACATTCAATGATATTTTTACAAAAAATAAACTTGTCTAAATCTGAAAAAGCTATTTTGAAGGATGGGAATGGTAGTTAGATGAATTTGTCCATTTTTAAAAGAAAAATTTTTTACGAAGTAATATAAGTTTGAATTTTGTAAAAAAACGCGTTTTTTGCATCTTTAGATTAGGATATCTCGAAAATATGATACGATGGAGCAATATTAAGCGGATTCCTGTTCAACACATCAAAATCATTTGAGATACTTTGATAATGTTGGTTGAATAAAGTATTGCAGACCTGCGATAATTAATGATAGTATTTTATATAGTAATTTAAATATTTAACTATTTATTGGCAACTGAGTATAGTGCTGCTTCGTTAATCATATTCAGCATATAAAGTTCTTTCAACAATGCATGAATTCTAAATTTTTAAATGCTGTACCATCAAATGGTTTTATATTTTTCTTTAAATTTAAGTATGGATGTTTTGTTAAAAAAACACTTCACACAACTCATATGTTACTTTTAACTGTTTCATTTTATGTTGTGCTAAGTATGTCTTAAAATATATATAAAAAATAGATATTCGCAATTTGAATTATTTCAAAGGTTAACCTGTACCATTCATAATTAAAGGTTCTAAGCTCAAAACTTTTAGAATTATAGGCTTAATTATTCAATTGAAATAAAATCAGAAAATGTAATTTTATTTCAAAGACTTCATTGAATACGTACAAGGAATGACATGTCTTGTAGAAAAAACCATTAATACTATACTAAAGAATTATAAGCATACGCATACTATAATTTCGAGATTTTATAACTTGCTGTTAATAAAGGTTGCAGTGATATCACTCATTTACACTTTGCAGATTCATAGTTATCATGAACTAATGGCTTTTCTAGAAAACTGAGAAAAATAAAAATTGAATTTTAAACTGCGTAATATCAAAACTAGCATGTACTAAATATATAAACATTCAAAAAGTCTTTATATAAAAATTTTACTGGTAGTATTTATCTTAAAACGAAAGTAAAACAAGTTAAATGGTCTTCATATCCTTGAAAATCTCATAATAAAGATTGCCTAAACAAACTTATTTATTACAGACGATATGGCACAAAGTGTGGCGGTTGTTCTCAAGGCATCAATCCGTCAGATTTGGTTCGAAAAGCACGAGACAAAGTTTTTCATTTGAATTGCTTCACATGCTTAGTGTGTCGAAAACAAATGAGCACCGGTGAGGAACTCTATGTGCTTGATGACAATACCTTCGTCTGCAAAGAAGACTACCTCTCGGGAAAAACTTTGCCGATCGGTCATCATATGCACGGACGACACGGTAAGCTGCCAATTGATACTGATTTATACATAAAAATATGAAAAATATTAGACTTATTAACATGCTTGAAGATCTTTACCAGGCGATGGCAAGTCTACTAACCTCGGTGTAGGCGAGGGACAGAGCCCTCTCCCTCTGTACTAAATTTTAAAAAAGCCGAAAAATATTATCAGAGGCAAAAAGAAGCCGATAAAATTTTGTAATATGTAAAAATTTAAATTTTCATTTATAAAAAAATCGTAAAATTGAAAACTATGATTTGTTGACCAAATTAAACATGAAGACTCTGGAATTTCACTTAATTTAAGCGAGTCTTTATTGCTGTATTTATGTATGCAGTAGATTATGCATCACATACTTTAAACGAACTATTTTCAAACTTATTGTTAAATAATTTTTTTTTTCTTGAAAATATGTCTTAACCCATTTCGTATCAAGGCAACAACAATTTTACTGAGTTTTCAATGCCATAACTTTTTAACTGAACGCAGCAGAAAAAAATCGCGAAATATCATTTCCGACAGGTCAATATCTCCTTAAAATTAGTTTAAAATGTTCCTAAAAAAAGTGATGACGAGTTTTTCACCAGAAAACGTGAATATTTTTCTCAAAAAATATCAAATTTTGAACATGAAAGAGGGGAACCCGGTTATTGAAAATGCCTTAAAGGGTGACATTAGTATCTACCCTTCAAAATATCATTGAAATTTTTCCGAAATTCAAGATGGTGGATTCAAAATAGCGCCCTAAAAGTGAAAAAATTGTAACACGAATTTCTTTATAAATACTATATTTTTTTATGCAAAAACAGTGTCTTATCCATTGTCTTACAGCCATTATAAATTGTAACAATAACATATTTTTGTCGAAATTTAATAGAAATTTTTTAAGGACGACGTGAAAATGCTGTTCAAAACCTATAAAAAGTCTATAAATGCGTATAATTCTTTGTAAATGGTACATTTCCATTATGAATGAATTGCATATGATCGTTTATATATATATATATATATATATATATATATATATATATATGTGTGTGTGTGTGTGTGTGTGTGTGTGTGTGTGTGTGTGTGTGTGTGTGTGTGTGTGTGTGTGTGTGTGTGTGTGTGTGTGTGTGTGTGTGTGATATATTTCGAAGACTACACTTTTTACAATTCTTTTTACCCTCACAATCGATAGCTGAATAAATTTCATATAAAAAAAAGTTCCGTTCATAATGTGCAATTGATAATTTATATGAGATATACTCGTACAGCGCGAAACTTTCTGCAATAAAAGGTGTTTGGATTTTATCTTCAAAATTGAAATCGTGAATAATTGTTTTACAATAACTAAATTCATTATAAAAAGTTTTTCATTTATATCGTCTATATTTACATGTCAACTAAATCAATATTCTCACAAATTATACTCGTAATAACATTTATAAAAACATTTAAAAAAAACAAAAAAAAGAAAAAAACTCTTGAATCAGCGTTTACCTCCACGTCATAAGAGTTGGACAACAACAGAGTATTTTGACACCATGAACAGGACTTTTTTTTATATGAAATTTATTCAGCTATCGATTGTGAGGGTGCAAAAATGGTAAAAAGTGTAGTTTTCTAAATATATCATGTATATATATATATATTGTGATGGTAAACGTCAAAGTAGCGCTGATAACCTAACTTAATTGCTGCCTGGGAGGGCAGCACCTACCGGGGGGACGAAATACGTAACGAAGGAATTCGGCGCGCGAGCAGAGGGAACGCGCGCGATTGAAACCAGGGGAGTGAAGCTTTGACCATCATTGTGTTCGCCCGCTTTTCTTTCCGCTATCGCCGATCTTCGTGCCATCAACGCCAACACGATAAGAGAAGAACATAGAGATGAGTGCCAGCTAGCTGTGACCGCTGTTGCCAAGGCGCCACACCAAGGTTCTGTTCGTGTTACTAACAAGTGTTTTTCGATTCGCTTAATTCTTATTGCTTCCACTCACTTTTTCCTAGATCAGATGACTTATTGGTTGACTGACGCCTGTCTCCGCATGCTCTTCAGACTACATTTTGAGCATAGATTATTACGTTCGCCCTTTCAACAAAGTCGCGCGAATAAAAATATAATTAAACGGTCCTACCCCGTTACAATATATATAAAGAATTATACGCATTTATAGACTTTTTATAAGTTTTGAACAGCATTTTCACGTCGCCCTTGAATTTAAAAAAATTTCTATTAAATTTCGACAAAAATATGTTATTGTTACAATTTATAATGGATGTAACGATAAGACACGGTTTTTTGCATAGAAAAATATAGTATTTTTAAGGTATTTATACTTTATAGTATTTATAAAGAAATCCGCGTATTTACGATTTTTTTTACTTTTAAGGTGCCATTTTGAATCCACCATCATAAATTTCGGAAAAATCTCAATAGGATTTTGAAAAGCAGATACTAATGTCACCCTTTAAGGTATTTCCAATAATCGGGTTCCATCGGGTTTCCTTCTTTCATGTTCAAAAATTGACATTTTTTGAGAACAATTTTGAAATTTTCACTTTTTCTGGTGCAAAACTCGTCATCACTTTTTCTAGGAAAATTTTAGACTAATTTTAATGGCGGCATTAGAAAGAGGAGACTTTAAACTATCGGAAATAATACTACGTGATTTTTTTCTGACGCGTTGAGTTAAAAAGTTATAACGTTGAAAACTCAGTAAATCTTTTGTCACCGTGGTACGAAATGGGTTAAGCGATTGTTCATAAGTATGTTATTTTGTTTTGTAATAAAGAACGACCCATAAACCGAGAATTGGTTATGCCCGCGACCATCTGCACAAATTATTCAAAAAAGGATGGATTCGAGAGGCACGAATGTTCTAACGGTTGAATAATATACCAGGCGCGTATATTAATAGTGTACAAAATTAATGCTAAGACCGAGGTGGGGGCCGATAGGACTGCTGGGCCATACGTACGACAACGCGACATCTGAACATGTAAAGAGAGATAGAGAGAAAAAGAGAGAAAAAAAGAAAGAGAGAGAGAGCGAGAGAAGCAAAGACTCCGCGATACAGCGACCGCTTCCTGGCTGCGACTTATTCTGATACACTTGCTATCGCTATTGCCGCTAGCCGATGCTCCTATCGCTTGCGTCCGGTTACTGATTGTTGCCGTTAAGAAAATTCTTTTATGCATCTGAAAACTTTTATTTATAAATTTAGTTCAAAGCAATTTTTGATTTACTTTGATTGATGATTAATAATTTTATGTTCTTTTTTTTCAACCTCATTTTTTCTTCTTGATATACCACCTAACCTAAGGTATATAGGTATATCAATAGAAAAAGTCATTATTAAGTGAGAATAAGTAAATAAATTAAGATTAATTTATTTATAAGTAGACAGGTAATGAATGTAATTAATTGTCACTAAAAAATATATAATACTTTTGTGTCAATACAATTAATGCAAAAGGAATAGGTTCTGAAATTATTTTATAGTTATGGTTTGCTGTAACTATAGATTTATTGTCTTTGATTTATAATAGATTTAATACTTTTGTTATATCTTGACTTTGGGGTCAAGATTTATTATGCAATTATTTATGTTCTTACTCTTTACTTATTTATAGTTGTAAAGGGAGAATCATTTTTTTTAATTAATGTTTACCCACAATTTTATTTACCAAATTATTTACGTGGGTATTTAGAAGGAAAAAAGCTTCGGCTACTAAGGAACCTGCTGGTCATGCAGATTGTGACGCTCGCATGTGAGAGCGTTTGGAATGGGAAACAGAAGAAAGTTCAATACTACAATTTATTTAATTATAAACTAAAATAAAGATAATAACAATTTTCATTTAAAAAAAATCAAAGAATAAGTCCTTTGCTGGTGTCTCCCGTTCAGACAAATGTTCGGGCTGAAGCGATGTTCTTGGAGAGGTGCTTAACCTCTGTAAATCGACATTTCTATATGGCATACAGCGGTGAGTCTCTTCGGCAGACGCGGGCAATCAAAGGTCACTCAGCGATTGCATTTATACTCATCACGGAACACTAGATCGTCCTGAGTCTGTGCATGGTCGTTATACGCGCGCCTGCGAAGAAACGGACACAGTGAAGAGAGAGAAGAGAGCTCATACTATGCTGGTTGCCTTCAGCTGCTACACTTTCTCCTTCGGTGAACTTGAGCATTCGTGGTGATGAACCGAACGCCAACGGATGTGCTGCAAAGGTCGAGAATAACCTAACTCATCAAATCAATGTCCAACAAAACTACAGCGCAGAGTCTTCTGATCTCCCCGATCAGAATCCAGCAACGGAACTATCTCAATTTTCTCTCTTTCCGCTCTCTTATTTTCTCTCCCCTCGTTTTTCCCCGCGCTTCTCCTCGCCTTTATGGTCCGTAGATAATCAGATCTCAGTTCCTAAGTTACTAATTCACACCTCAAATCAATAAACCAGGCATTAATAATGCACTAAAGTAATTACACAGATGCCCGGCCTAAAGATAACGCATACAGACAGCGAAAGGTCAGAGACGACAGGAAAATCGTTACTAAGCATATCACATAGTTTATAGGATATAGTTTAGTGGATAGTAGGACTTACTTGGTTATTACTTTCATCGCAATTTGTTACTTGTTGACTCAACTGCTCTAAATAATAATTTAATCTAGATAATGCTATTTATCTTTGCCTAGACGAAATGTAGTCGAGGTTGATAAACACAAGTCACAAACATCGATTCTGCCAATTGCCCCCCTAATAGGTTATTTCCAGGTCAATGTTGTTTTTTCAATGGAAACACTTATTTTTTATGAAGGATTTAGGTTCCTTGTCAAAATCTACGTTCAGATAAAGCTACATGTGTGGGATACAGATAATTTCCCCAATACCCCCCCCCCCCCCAATATCATTTCAAGGTCAATGTTACATTTTCGATTCGAACCCGCATCTTTCACTAGAGATTCAAATTCTGCATAAAATCCTACGTTCAGATGATATTTCGA